GTTCTTCATCATGTCTATTTTCAATAAGTGATGAAATAATTCAAGGATTGTTATCCTAAAAATACTTTGACCTACTTGAAAATCATGTGTTTTTAGGGTTTTCACCTTAATGTTTTGAAACTTTTCTCAACTTAAAACTTGATCTATCTTGTAAGATTGGTTTTGTATGATTCATATGTGTTTGTTAACATGTTTGAGTAACCAAATTTATTTTGGTTCAATGTCTTACCATGTTCATATTTGCTTTTGTGAATGCACATATATGAAAGTAACCTATTGAATTTCACCTGTGAACCTTGTCATAATTCTTGATGTTGTAACTTCTTGAATATGTTCATCATGCCTTTTCCTACTTGTGTATGTGTATTGTTAGAACCATAACATGCTGGGGTTTGTTTTTGTCTTGGTTGTTACCATGAAACTTGATTGCTTTTCCCCATGAAATCATGAACTCATACTTGAACTGTTGTAATATTTCTTGTATTCTTGCTTGCTTGATTATCATCAATGCATGTTAGTTGGTCTTATGTTGTTACATTTGACTTCCTTTGATCCCTATAATATGATTGTTCTAAGTTGTAACTTGCTTGTATTAAACTTGTTTGAATGTTTTAACTGAACTTGTTGTTGTTACACATGTTCTTTGTTTGCCTTGATGGTTGTTATCTCATTGTTCTTCATCTTTGTTAAGATGTTTAAAATTAATCTTGACTATATGTTTACATGTTGTTACATGTTCTTGCTTATGTGCTTAACTTTGTCAAGTTTCCCCAAGTGATGGACCTTGTTAGTTCTCATCCAGTTGCCTCATTTTTCTCCTGTTTCAAAGGAAAGTCTCTCTATTGACCCTTGGGTCATAGACACCTCATTACCCTCCCTTTGACATTGTTAAGTCACCTTGAACCCTAACTTAGTTAAGTTAGAACCTATATCCATTAGACTTTTGCTTTAAGTCTAAACGACCTACCTTGTTAGGAGTGCCCTTCAATTAGAACTTTAAGATAGAGTTTGTCAACTCTATGTAAGAATCATGGAGATGATTACTTACTTCCCCCATTTACTTTTGTCAAGGTCAACCTCTTGAGTATACAACTTGGAATAGAGAGTTTTGTTAAACTCTACACAAGCATTGTCATGTTTGTTCCCCTTTGAACCTTGATCATAATCAAGTGTTCATCCATCCCTTGTGAGGTGAACTACGGTTGCTCTGATTCTATCCTAGTTAGGATACGTAGGCAGAAGATGCGATATCTTTGCGAGCAAACTTAGAACTATCCTTAGTTATTTACCAAAAGTTGTACCTTAATTTCAATCCACAGCATACCCATTAACAAGTTTAGCATACAACATACAAAAGGTTCTTGTAGAGTACTACAGATGTTTAGGATGTGAAATACCTACCCAAGGCATAATCAACCCCGATCCCCGAATCTCTTAGCGTTGTTGTTACATCGTGCAAAAGGTCTTTCTTTCTTTAACCTTTCCTTTGGATAAATCAAAGTCCAATTGTGAATTTAATGAATTAAGATTCAAGTTAATCAATAGCTTGACATCCGATTCTCACTGCAACATAGACCAACATAAGTTATTAACATTGACAGAGCTTCTCCTAAAGATAATGTTTTTTCGCTCCTTCCATATCCCCCACACAACCGCTAACCAAATAATCCCTCTTAGACCGATGTCACCGCATATGGAAGTACCTTTCCTACTCCACTCCAACATAAAACTCCCTCCAAAAGAAGCATTACTGCCACACCACCTACCAATGTTTTCCCTCACCAGAACAAAAATTCCACAGATGAATAATAAATGATCCCTCTCTTCACCATCAACATTACATAAAACACACTGTAAATTTTGAATGCTAACTTCTCGCCTTACCAAAAGATCTCTAGTTGTCAATCTGTTCCAAATAAGTCTCCATTCAAACAGTCGGATTTTAGATGACACTCTCAACTTCCATAGAAAATTGAAAACCTCAACCTGCAAACTAGACTGAGCATTCTGCGAAGAATTCTGCTTCATCGCCTGATACACGCCCATTTCACTGTATAACCCAAAAACTCGTCAGGTTTTCATAAAAGCTTATCGTTCCTTTCCGCCACCATAGTCAGCTATTCCAATATTACCTTCAATATGCTTAACCTCTCAGCTATAGAGTCAGAACTCTGAGCAGAAAGGCCTAAGTCTCCCCACTCTCATATTCCCTCTCTCCAATCTCCCATGTCACATACCATCACCTCTTTCAACCTGGTAGCAGTAAAAAGATCCAAAGACGATGTTGTAAGCGAAATCGAACCCAGCCACGCAGTTGACCAAAACGGGAATCTTTTACCATTACCAACCTTAAATCCTATTAAACTAGGGAAATTGACGTTGCATTTGACAACCAGCTTGCCGCACCTGAACACATCCTTCCACCAGTTTGGCGAAGAACAACTTGAACGCGGCTTATCCAACAACACATACTGAGTTAAAGGTTCATACCTAGCAATAAGAACTTTCTGCCAAAGGGGATCAGATTCGTGAAGCATCCTCCATTTCCACTTTGTAATGAGAGCCAAATTGAATTGTTTGATACTTTTCACCCCAAGACCACCCCTTTCTTTTTCTGAGCACACTACCTCCCAATTTAGCCAATGAATTTTCGACTTGCCGTCAATTTCCCCCCACAAAAATCTCTGCCCCACCTTATCAATATCTTTCTAAATTGCCACAGGGGCCTTATAGAATGAAAGCAGGAAAATAGGCAAGCTAGAAAGCACAACATTGATTAAAGTTAGTCTTCCTGCCATTGTTAGAATACGCCATTTCCAATTTGCAAGCTTCGACTTAAGCTTCTCAATTAACGATCTTCATAAGGCCATTCTCGTAGGATTGCTCCCAATAGGGATTCCTAAAAAATTAAAGGAAGAAACCTCCGTTTCGCAAGCAAGAAACGTAGAAGTCGCCAATAGAAAGTGTTGACTTACATTGATGCCAATAAGTCTGCTCTTATTAAAGTTGACACCCAACCCCGAAGCAAGTTTAAAACTCCTCAAAATAGCTTTTAAACTCCACAAATTCTTCCACCCTCCTCCGCCTACTAGCAAGGTATCGTCTGCAAGCTGAATTAATTCCACATAAGTATCTTCATCAAATTTAAACCCTTCAAAATCTCCAAAGGACACCGCGTTATGAGCCAAACCTGGGAGACCTTCAGCCATAAGAATAAACAAAAACAAAGACAAAGGGTTTCCTTGATGCAAACCTCTATAAACTCTGAAATCTTTAGCTGGGCTTCTGTTAACTAAGATATAAATAAAGTCGTTAAACTCACTAATGCATCAAAAATGGTCATGGTGATTTGGAATAAAATCCGACGGTTATGTAAGCGAAAATTATCTCACATTCTCAATTTGAGATGGGAAAAGAGTGAGAGGGGTCATTGTGAGATATCACCATTGTAAATTCCTAAGTGGATTCTCAATTTATTACATCTGTTTTAAAATAAAAGTCTTTTAAATTTATTACACATAGATTAAAAAAATTATTGAATGGATAAATGTAACAATTTTAAAAATCACCCTTAATTATTATTGATTTTGATATATTATCATAAATACATAGTATGATTTGATATCTTAAAAATAGTGCGGACAATATTTATTAAAGGTAAGATTGATAAAAATTAATTAATGTTGCATTAAAAAAATACTTAGGGTCCGTTTGAATTACTTTTAGTTTTTAGTTTTAAAATTTTGTTTTTAAAAATTGTTTTGAAAAACTGTTTTTAAAAAGAAAAGTGAAAAAAAAATGTTTGCCACTTAAATTTTTTTAATTATTTTAATGAGGAAATGAAAAAATTTGTTTGGCACTTAAGTTTTAAAAAACTATTTTTAAGAGAATTGAAAAAAAAATGTTTAGCACTAAAATTTTTAAATTTTTTTTAATATATATTATTTAAATCATTTAGCCCCTAATGAGATCTCTAAATCACTATATTTTTTATAGTTAAAAATATTGGTTAATGTGTCATGGTCGAATATCAAATTATAACACAGTTAATTATTATTCAATTAACGACTTTTTTTTATTGGAATATCCTAGATTGAAATGGTATATAGTATTTTATCCTAGTTTGAAAAAAAAAATGACTAGAGTGTCCCATTTTCACCACATGCTCGTCCACTCAAGTGGCGAGTTAATGTTGGATTTTTTTTGATGAAGGTGCTCGCCCACTCAAGTGGCGAGCAGGTGTAGTTTAGTTTTTTTTTTCTTCATATTTATATTATGTTTATTTAATTAAAATAATAATTTAAATATTAAAAATTTATTATATTAATTTAATAATTATAGACTAATTAAAATTATTATAAGAATATTATATATCATGTTATTATAATATTTAATTAAGTATAATAATTATTTTTAATTAGAAGGAAAATAAATTATGAATGATATAATAATTTAATTTTCTTTCCTTTCATGTATTTTAAAAAATGATTGATGCTCGTCCAATGAGTTGTCTAGTTTTTACAGACTATCGGCCATTGAATGACCGAGTTCAAACGTTTTTTTTTATAAATAGATTAATGCGCATCAACACAAATCATTCGTGCTTAGTGTTTCGTGTTTTAAAAATGTTTGTCCGAGCTCTTGTTTTTTATGGACAAGAAAAAAAATCAGTGTTTACCTAGATCCTCAGTGGTTGCAGAAATTAACACGGGTTTCGGCAGTTGGGTGGTCGTTGCATGAAGGTGAGAAAAATGGAGTATCGTTGTCTGTATATAATGTTGACTGATGCAAGCCCGAAGGGTACATACATGTATTACTTGGATCGTATAGAAAATGATGAAGATGTCCAATGTATGTTTTCAGCACATAGTGGCGAAGTTAACAAAGGAGTCAAAGATCCACTTATGTTGGTTGCTATTGTTGATTATCGTGTATATTAACTTCTTGAGTTTTAATTTTAAGTTTATGGTTGTAATCTGCTAGTATTGTTGTAATCTAGACTATCGGTTTGATGGACCGACACCATTTGTACATTTTCTACGTATATGGTCAATTTCTCTGCAAATCCCACACCTTCTCTTTTCCTTTTCAGCATCTTCCATTTCAGTTCTAATCCTACTACTGATTGGACGTCCCTTCTTATTTCTTCTCATGGAATCATCGTGGCATAAAGTAAAACCTTCATATTTTGACCAATTCTCCTCGTGCGGTAGTTCCAAGAAGCTTTCTTTGTAGACTTTGAATACGTTAAGAACTGCGAAGACCTTTGGAATGTGAATGGCGTAGTCCTGACATATGCTAGAACATGCTGCGATCACGTGGGAGCAAGGCAAGTGAAATGCTTAAAATTTTCTACAGTCACACCAACGATTCCTCAGGTCAACACTGAAAGTACCCGTCAGACGACCATCGTTCTGATTAATTTTTTCCTGCACCATGAAACATAATCTTTCGCGATCAAATTGCATGACATTATGTGTGTTAGTCTTGGCTACCTCATCAGTCATTCCCTTGTTGCAACCATCTGTGAAAACTTTCCCTGTAGCTAGCATTTTGGTCCATTTGTGTCCTCGTTTACCAAAGAGGGAACCCATTCGATAGTATGTAGACTGGACCAAAGCAGTGATTGAAAGGTTTCTGGTTGCCTTTAGTACAGATTTCATGGCCTCTGCCAAGTTAGATGTCATATTTCCCCAACATTACCCTCCGTCAAATGCTCTAGCCCACTTCTCCCTAAGTATGTTTTCAATCCAATGTGAGGCCTCAATGTCTGTTCTTCAGATTTCTCCGCGATAGTAGTTAAATGTAGCCTCCGTCAATGCGTAACCTGTAATAGAAATGGTATGAAAAACATAGTAAAAGTATGATATAATAATTGAGATAACTGAAATGTATTTTGTTACTCATGTTAATAAGTTTTTTGTGTAGTTCCTTGTCCTTAATCTTGTGCATGAAGTTTTGCGCAATGTGTCTAATGCAGTAGACATGTGAAGATGGTGGATGTTGCCATCCGTTTTCGGGATTGTTATATGAACTCTTTATCGATTCATGTCTATTAGAGATTAGACACAAATTAGGTTGTGGTGTCACGTGTAACCTCAGGCTCCTTAGGAAAAAGCTTTATGCTTCCTTTGTTTCACCTTCGACCAATGCGAATGCTATTGGGAAAATGTTTCTGTTTCCATCCTGTGCCACCGCCATCAATAAAGTTCCTATGTACTCGCCATACACCACGCTCCGTCTACTTGCACAATGGGATTACAGTAGGCGAAGTCACGTATACACGAACGAAATTCCAAAAATAGACGATGGAAGATTCGTTTTCCAGAGATTTGAGATCCATCATTTGAAATTGCAGGTAGGGTTTGCAAATCTATAATGGTTCCAGAAAGATAGGTTTTCATTACCAGTATCCACTATGGCAGGTCATTGTAAGATGTTTCCCAATTTCCGTAGAGCGACTCTATGGCCTTACACTTAGAGATCCATGCTTTCCTGTAAGATATTATGTACTTGTATTTTTCAAGAATATGGGCAATGATCACCTTCACCTTAAGTGAAGCGTCTTGGTTGAAAAGTTCTCTAATGTTGTGGCTAATCATTTCTGAACTGAGCTTCCTATGGTCTTGTGCCATAGATGTGGTAGTGCATGTGTGAGGATCAGACAACTTACAGATCACACATTTTGAGTTCCTTTTTCTCAAGGAAGCTCTGCATTTGAAATTGCAGTCTTGTTTCTTACACTTAATTATGTATCGTTTATTATCAGATAGGTAAACCTAATAGTCAACACTCTATGTTATATGCCAATGTTGCAGAGCGAAAACGCAAGCTTCCTTGTTTTCAAAATCTATCCCAATATCTATTTCGTCACCTATATGGTTTGGTATGACACATCCAAATACATAGGTCGTTTCATTATTTTCCATACATATATTCTGCATGTGTGTAGGTGGGTTGTACAAGCTTATTGGTTGGGCGCGAATCGGCTGCATAGACGCGACTATTATATCTTCATCGTCTTCGTCATCGTTGTTACCAAAAATATCTTGCATCCTGACCTCTTGAAGATCGTCATCGCTTGCTTCCCCAACCTCTTCATTTGGTATGAAAGGTTGGTTGTTTTGTTTTGGTTCCTCGTCAGATGTTTGGCTCATTCCATACTGGTGTGATTGTGTCTCTTGCGTCGGAAATGTTTTGGCATTATCTAGTAGAAGGACATAAAACTCAATTGTGGGTAACTGACCAAACATCATGTGGCACCGAAACATTGCTTCCACGTCTTCGTCGTTCTTGATTGGCGTCATTACGTAAAAAAATTATATTGTCTCTCCATTAATTAATGGATGACGATAAATAATCTCCTCAACGCATCATTCTAATTTTTTTTCTATTCTATCTTTGAAATGAAAAAAATCAAAATTGACATGAATTTTGAATGCGTAAGTATCTGTGTTGCTGAATGAGAATCCAACAGTATTATTTGTCAAAACAACACCGTTAAAGTGGCAGGTAACAATTATACTTCTTTGAGATATATTTGATGTGTAAAATCTATGTTTTTGTTAATGAAATGTGGAGTGATGATACAAACAAGATATAATACACACACATAAAATGCAAAGAATAAAAAGGTAGCTTGAGCTCGTCCACTCAAAGGACGAGCAAGCTCTTGTATAGTACTTGCTCGTCCACTCAAAGGGCGAGCATGCTCTTGGTTTCGAGGCAACTCGTCCACCTAAGTGGCGAGTACATGAAGGGTGCTGAAAAATGTCTTCCATTCAAGGTACATTGTGTAAGACCTACGTAGTAGCCTTGCATGCATTCCATGAAATTAACCATTACCAATGCCATGCAAAACTCAGTGTAATGTCACTTTTAGTAGTCACATTTACACTTCAAACATTTTTACTTCATCTATAAATTCACTTTTACCTCAAATTTGTTTCTACAAACTTTTTTAGTTCTAGTATAAAACACTCTAGCAACAACAAACACTCAAGCACTTCTCCAAAAAATTTTACACTCAATCAAAATGGCTTTGTTGTGGATGGGCGATGAACACCATGGAACACAACAAAACATTCAAGCTAGTGTAAGTTTTCCTCTACTATTCTATGAATAATGTTTATAATTGGTTGGTTCAATATTATTTCATTTATTTTCAGAATAATGCAAGGTTTCGAGTGCATTCTCATGCTCTCATTCAAGCAAGTGCGAGAATAATCCCGTATCTAGAAATAGCAGGTTTTGCTATAATCGCAAAAATAAATAGTCTCAAAATCGACTTCAGCCTAGTTGTAGCTCTGTTAGAGAAATGGAGACCAAAAACACACATGTTTCATTTCCCAACAAGTGAATGCACGATAACGTTAGAAGATGTGAATATGTTGGTCTCCGAGTTGATGGAAAAGCTATCAACGGTCCTACTGAAGTCACAAATGATGTTTACATGGAGAACTTAGGGGTGGAACCTACATAAGCGGATGAAAACAAAGGTTCTATTAGGATTACGTGGCTAGAAAATTTATACGAAGTTTTAAAAAATAAATCTTCCCCCACACAAGAACATACTATTTTACAAGCTAAAGTTTATATTTTACTTGTAATTGCTACTATTTTGTTTCCCGACAAGAGTCAAAATCTTTTGCATTCTTCCTGGATTCCTTTCGTAAGGGATCTAGAAAAATGCAACACCTTTAGGCATGTCTTGCAAAACTGTACAGAGAAATATGCAAGGCAGCAGTCAAAGATGTTAGGAGCATGAGTGGTTGTGTTCTTCTACTCACTTCTTGGGCATTCATGCGTATACCATTGTTTGCTCCTGTTAGTACATTGCAACCGTCATATCCATACGCTCAAAGGTATTACTAGATTAAAATATGCATTATATATATATATATATATATATATGTATATATATATATATTATTCAACTATGCCTAACAATATTTATATTTTTTGTTTATGCAGATTGTCGCTACTACGAAAATCGAGGCCGACAATGACAGAAGAATCGCCACGGTGCATTATTTATCCCAAGAGAGGGCAAGGAAACGCTCAGAGAAAACCTAACGAAAAGAGGAATAAGATCGGTCATCGCAACCAAATCTCGGGTTCGGGAGTCGGTTACGCAAGGGGAAGGTATTAGCACCCCTCACGCCCGTCGTACTCGACGGGATCCACGCTTGTTGTCTATCTAAAAGGGTGATTGAAACTATCTAACTACAGGCTTAAGGGTAAAAGAAAAAGAAATGACTCGGAAAAACAACGATGCTTTGTGCCTACGTATCTCATCTGAAATGAGAAGTCAGAGTCAACGTAGTTCGGCTAACTACGGGTGAAAAGGGGGGAAGGTTGCTCGCCAAGACATCGCCATCTTGTGCCTACGTACTTTCATCTGGTATGAAAGATCAGAGCAAACGTAGTTCGGGCTAACGGGGGAACACAGGTTTGTTCAACTGTTTTTTAGGCCCGAGTAGGGTTAACAAGTAGTTCTAGCAGTTGGTGTATGCAGCTCGAGCATAGGAGACTTAGGCGTTACCGTTTGCGGTAGAACTAAGAGTTAACAACACTCTTGTTATGAAAATGATTTTCCTGATTAAGAACCCCAAAGGGTGAAAAAGGTTTGAAATGTTTTTGTTTTATGTTTTTTTTAGCGGAGAAGTGTTTTTGAATTGGTTTGCAATTCATATCGCACTAGAGACTATGACTTAGGAGTGATTGCGTCGCATATCACCCAAAGGGTGCTATACTAAACAATCAAGCCATTGAAAGGAAACCCTTCAACAACCATTTCCCAAGTAGCTTAAGGCTCGTAACGTACAATACTCATTAACCTTTATTAGGTATTTTGGGTTGTTTTGAGGTGAGAAGAGAAAAGACGCACTAAAGGGGGACTAAACCAAACCTAAAGTTGTCATGCAATGGTGATCCTAAGATTGAGATGAAAGGGAATGCTATCTAATGTTGTCATGCAAAGGATTGAACATCTAATGTCTCTCCTACTCCCATCCTAAACTGAGGGACTAGGAATCCTAGGGGGATCATGGCACAAGGCCAAGTAAACACAGATAAATCAATCGCAGATGAAATGAGAAAGAAAATAAAATGTGAATAAAAAAAAATAATGAAATAAAATAGAAAATAAAATAAAAACATGGAAAATAAAATAACATATTAAAAATAATAGACAAATGATTTTTTTGGGTTTTTGGATATTTATAACTATTTTTACAATAAATAAAAACAAGAAAAGAAATAAAAAAAAAAATAAAAAGAAAAGAAATGAAACAAATAAGTGCTTAAAAAAAGAAATGTTCACACTAGGATTTGAACCCTTGACCTTGGGGTTCCAAACATAAAACTCAACCAACAAAGCACTAAACACGCGTGTGATAAGGAAGGGAAAAGAAACATTAAATGCAAAACATGAAAAATGAAAGAAATAAAAAAAAAAAAAAAACACCCCAAGCTGGGCTCGAACCGGGGGCATGATAATGAAAGGCAAGACATTTAACCACTGGGGTGGCGATACATCCAAGTGTTATGCCACCCCAAAATAAACATGTACTTAACAAAGTGGATTTTCTGGGCAAGCTAGGCAAGCAAACACAAGGCAACATCATGAAAAACGAGAACATCATAAATTTGTCAAAACTCAATCATTTTCAGCAAAATTTAGGTCTATCTTGGGTGAAATTTAACAAGGATTGCAATGGCATTATCAGTTTTCCAAGAACATGCATTAAAATTAAAAAACGAATGCAAATGTCATGTGAAGCTTTGAAGTGCATTTTGAAATCAAGGGACCAAACTAGATGCATTTAAACTCATGTAATGGCTTGAGCAAGTTTCAAATATGTAAAACATGGATTATAGATGCCAAGATCATACAAAAACAAGCCCAATCAAAAACTGATGTGTAAGTTGCACAAATTGCCTTGGAAATGCATTATGATGGCCATAGCTCAAAGTAGAAGGGATCATGGTTAAAAGAAGGTGTGCACAACTTCCAAATATGTTATTCAGTGATTCTACATGCCTAGATCAGTCAAGAACAACTCCAAACCAAAATTGGTATGCAAGTGGTAAGGTGAACAAAATGCTTGATATGTGGTTTTGGAAAATAAGATTAGTTAAGCATACATACACAATTTAATCACCACACATTAAAGGATTCTCAACTGTCAAAACATGAATTCAAAGTATCTTCCAAGATCAAAACAGATGGCACATGACTTGAAGCATAAGACAGAAATTGACAGCAAATCAAATGACAGTCAAAAGCAAAATTTCAAACTAGCGACACATATGAACATCTACAATGCCTTTACAAAAACAAAACACCTTAAGAAATTTGCATCAGTTCAAACAAAATGGTCTATTCTTGACAGTTAGCAATATTGTGCTCATGGACTAGCACTTAAACACATTAGATCCAACATGTAGAAAACTCAATACATAACAACAGCAGTTGGTCTCAAAAAAACATGCCAAGTCGAACACATCAAATTCATATCATGCCTTAAAAGGTGAAGGTTTCAAACATAGGACAATGGACCTAGACAGATTTCTAACAAGAAAATCAATACTAGCAGCAAGTAGTACAAGATGGCAATTGACACCAAACAAG